TGTTGATTATCACAAATAAACAGCAACTGAACTGCATAGTTTAGACTCCATTGTTAATTCTGTATAAGTTACATCAATAGCTGAGAGACAGTTTCTTTCATATAAGCAAAATGGACAATAAAATACACCCAAAGTGAATCAGAATCAAATCACATTGAATGCAGAATCATATGGAGAGCTTGTGAATAGGAACTGAAACAAGAACATACATAGATAGCACAAATAGCATATTAAATACATAGTCTTGACAGTCCCAGTATAGTTACTGCCATGCATCCATGTTTACCTGCTTGCACAGGCGGCTGTCATGAGAGCATTCAAGACAGCGCTGATAGAGTTCATAACACAGCACAGGCTCAGGAAGAGCCTCCAAGTAGATCAATAGTGCTTCGGCAACTGAGTGATTAGAGCCAGCTAACCAACAGTCAAGGAGAACCATGGTGAACAGTGGGAATGCACATATTAGCATCAGGAAGAGAAAATACAGCAGTGAGAAAAAGGAAAAGACAGGGAGAGAAGAGAAAGTACACAGTGTCTCTAGGGAAGTCTCGAGCACCATTAGAGTAGGACAGAGGAAACATTCTCAGTCTCTCAGCAGCACAGGGATGAATTGTGTGGGAGAGTCCAGCCAGTCAGACCAGTTTTAAAGGGAGCCACTCGGTCACATTCACTGACGTGACAGACATTAGCAGTTGTATGCCAACTCTGAGAACCCTTTAAAAAGGTTTGTACAGACTACCAAATATTAATCTATCTGCTGGGAAAAACTCATCCTTTCCATATATAAACCTATTTATATATCTTTTGGTGGGAAAGGATACGGATGGATTCAGGAATGCTGGTGTCCAAGCAGTCAATAATACTTTGTAGATCATCCTGCAGGCCAGGGGTCTGGAAAAGGTCCTCCTGTGTATATAAAAAAAACTCATTAGTAATTTGAGATGTTATGGTTAATCATTGGTGCATTCATGCTTTATTTTGTTTACCTGCTGGCAGGCCTTGGTGTAGAGGTGATTAACAAGTAACCAGACCTCTTTGGGAATCTTCAGAGGTTTATCCTCTGTTCCAGCACTGTCCAACAAGAAATTAATCCGGCATTTCTCCTGTGAAATTGA